CACTACCACCACCACCATGACCACCATCAGCACCACCACTATGATCACCATCACCACCATCACCATCATCACCATCATCACCAACACAACCATCACCATCATCATCACCACCATCATCACCATCACCACCACCACTACTATTACCACCATCATCACCATAATTATCACCACCACCATCACCACCATCATCACCACAACTATCACCATCATCATCACCACCATCACCACTACCACCACTTCCACCATCATGATCACCATCACTGTGTCTCCAACACTACCGTCACCATCTCCACTACCATCACCACCATCAGCATCCACACTACAAATAGGAAATACTGAGCATCCCCCCTAATGAACTCTTCTTAGATCAAGTATATCATCAGGAATTTTCCAGTGAAGGTGTACTGAACTCACCACCAAGAAGACCCTTCCTCTGTATGTTCAAGGTCGTAGACTCCTACAGAAGATTGCATATGCTCTGATCCCTTCCTATCCCCCACATCTGTTCCCCGAGAGTCTGATTATTTAAGGGATGACTGAATTTGGAGGCTATGCCTGGTGTGTCGGGAGGGTTGTTATGTAACCAAACACCCTGGAATCTTGTAAAATGGCCATGAACTAATGGGTTGTGAAAAGGTTGGATCTGTTAACTTGCGTCTGGAGGTACATCTGCTGCAGACCTCCTACAATCTTTACTCAGGAGCACCCCACAGGGGCCCTTTGCCTCTGCAATGTTGGGTTTCAGCTGGCCTTTGAGCCAGAGCTGGGTGGGTGAGTTAGCACCTCCTGGATGTTGAGTGCCAACCTTGGGACTCCATCTTTCCTGAGGGCTAGCAGAAAGGCAGCCGTGCACATAAAGCGGACCCTGGGCCCAGTGACAGACTAACTGAGAAATATTCAAGTAGGTCAGCCAAGGGCAGACATGGAGGGTAAATCTTGGTTGAGAACTCACGCTCTAGCATTGCCCTGTCCCATCTGCCCTGTCCTCACTGACCTTCACAGTTCCCCAAATGATCGTCCAGACCTACAGTGTCAGCCCTGTGCACAGTGAGTCTAAGACAAGAAAGAGGACCCAGATGGGTTGGTAGAGCCCCGGGGAGGGACTGGGATGACCAGTCCCCTTGAGATTCAAATCCTGCCTGAGTGTCTGCCTGCTCCCCTCCACCAGTTACCTTGGGACAGAGTGTGTGTCTGAGAGCAAATTAGCCATCCTGGAGTTGCTAGTTAAGTGAGCTTTTAAAATCATTTATCCTGTTGAAATGAGGTTGACTTTGCACCCCAGCTCCTCGGTGGGCAGTCTAAAATTAGAGTTCCATTGATAAGCAGTCTTTGCCGGGGCCTGTGGTGCACATCCAGGGAGCGGGCAAATGTCCACGACATGTTTGCTGGATCAGTTTTGAGGTTTTTGAGAAGTGTAAACAAGTTGCAACTCAGAGCTTCAAGAATCAGCCCCTGGGTAGCTGGGGGTTCAATGGTCAGGGTGCTGAGGACCAGCCCCTCCCTACCCAGTACAGTTGCTCTCGATGCACCTGCTCCCAGCACCCCCTGAGTGGACGCCTCCCACAAAGACACTGTATTCTGGGGCTCATCCAGGGCTGGGAGGTGGCATGTTGCTGGGCTCATAGATAACATGAATCCAACGTGTGTGAGGAGGGTCTGCTCCTCCAGGGCTGTGTGTGGGGTTTCGAAAGCTGCACATCTTGATAGGAGCAGACAGTTGGTGGTTTGAACTGCCAACCTTGCAGTCAGCAAACCAACTCTTAACCCACTGCACCACCAGGTCTCTTTATTAGAGGCAGAAAAAGAGAAAACCCAGAGAGAAGAGAGAAGACCACCTGAAGTCAGAGGCAGAGACTAGAGGGATGAGACCATAAGCCAAGGAGCACTGGGAGCTCCTAGGAACAGGAAGAGACTAATTGGGATCCTCCCTAGAGCCTTTTGCCACCTCTGCTGTCTTCAGCCCTCAGCTGGTGCAATTGGCTGCAGCTACAGGGCACACACAGCATCACATGACACAGCGTCACGTGACACGTCCCCATCTCCCAAATGGAGCACCCCTTCCTTCACCTTAGAGATTCCTGAGGGCCTGGTGGGCATGATCTCGGTAATGAGTCAGCCTGGGCCCCAGGTGACAGTAGTGATTGTCCGCTGGTGAGCGGCACCAAAGCTGTGGCCACATTTGAGTCATTACCTTGCCCCCTAGGTCCGGGCCATGAGGCTGTCCTTTGTGGGCGAGCTGGGCTGGGAGCTGCATGTGCCCAGGGCAGACTGTGTGCCCGTATACAAGGCCATCATGGCTGCAGGCAGCAAGCTTGGACTCGCCAACGCAGGCTACCGGGCCATCGACTCCCTCAGCATTGAGAAAGGTACGTGTGGGGTTTGGTGGTGTGTGGCAGGGTCAGCTCACTTCCTTTCATGCTGCCTCTTCTTTCCCCCTCAAACCTCCCTGTTAACTAATGTCCAGAGATGGGGCTGGGGTCCCCTGCGCTCACCCACACCCAGATTCATAGGGGCACAAGCTTGCCTGGGGCACACGTGGCCAGAACTGAATTCAAAGTCAGCACCTCTGTGTCACAGGGACTTGGACAGTGCCCCAGCAGGACAGGCAGGGCCTCACTCTGAGGAGGGTCACTCCACGGCTGGTCAGTGAGGCCTTGGTGGGAGACTTCCCAATCTGACAGCAAAGGGCTGGTCTGCACTGGGAACTCACCTGGGGAACCTTCTGGAATGGAGAATGCTCCCTCCTGCCTGAGTTGTCCACATGAAGAGAGCAGAGTGGGGATTTGGGTCCCCTTTTTCCACCTCTGCTAACACTGACTCCCCAAAACACGCACACAGGCTACCGGCACTGGCATGCAGACCTGCGTTCTGACGACAGCCCCTTGGAGGCCGGGTTGGCCTTCACCTGCAAGCTCAAGTCTGACATCCCCTTCCTGGGGCGTGGGGCTCTGGAGCAGCAACGAGCCGAGGGCCTGCGACGTCGTCTGGTGTGCTTCACCGTGGACGAGTAAGTGTGCACTGCCTTGTGGATGCCCGAGACTGACCACAGACAGGTGGTCACTCCCAGACTCCCTGAACCATACACAGGCCGTTAGGGGTCAGGGACTGCAAAGTCAGACCCTCCAGGGCCTGGTCCACGGGGACATGCAGGTCACACTGAGGTTTCAGAGGAAGGTGCTGCTGAGCTGGCTGGGGACCTTGGCAGGATTTACAGGGTTCTGAGTCATCGTGTTGGGACCCTTCTTTGTGGGCCCACTTGCAAATGGGGAGCGGGGCCGTGCAGGCCCAGAGGCGGGGGGAGCGGAGCCCCATGACTCCCTGGGATCCTGGAAGAGCTGCGCCCCTCTGAGATGGTGAGACGATGCTGACAGAAGTGGGGGAGCGGGTGCCCACCATACTGACACCAGATCTGCATGAGGTGCCCCTGAGCTCTGCTGGTGTGGTCATCTCTTCTCCAGAACCTTCCCTGGGGTCTTGCACCATCCTGCAGCTGTCTCCCAAGGGACCACTTATCCACCTCCAGGGAGTGGCTCCAGTTTGGGGGTGCAGGGGCTGGGTGAGATTTCTGGAAGCACCTGAGGCTGAGGACCTGATCTTGGGGTCCCTCATGGAGCGCTTGGCTCTGCTCTGCCCAGTCTCCCTGCCTAGCACACCGGGAGAAACTGCTGACTGGACATCCCTGAGCCTGGGTCTGGGGCAGCCTCTCTGGTCTCAGTCATTTCGCAAGGGGAGGGCTGCAGTGGGACCAGAAGAGACCAGGACATGTTGACAGCACTCACTCTGACCCCATCCGGGCCAGGGAGGTAGAGGCTGGCGGTTCTGCTCCAGGCGGCAGAACAAGGCATGTCTCCCACTGTGCCCGCCAAAGCCAAAACCAAACCCACTGCCACTCATAGCAACCTCTAGGACAGTGTAAAACTGTCCCATACAATATCTGAGACTGTAAATATTTATGATACAGATGGCCTCATCTTTCTTCCCCAGAGCAGCTGGTGGGTTTGAACTGCCAACCTTTCGTCTAACCAGCTGCGCCACCAGGCCTCCTTAACCACACCCAGAGCTCTATCCTGAGGGAGCCCCACACACCTCTTGCCATGGTCACACAATCCGGACACACCGCCCCCCGCTCCTAGCTCCCTCCTGGCACAGTCCTAGGCACCCTGTGTTCTTGTTATTAAGTGCCGTCGAGTTGATTCTGACCCACAGCGACCCTGTATAGGGTTTCTGAGGAGCAACTGGTGAGCTTGACCCACCGACCTTGCGGTTCAAATGACTTTGCAGTCTGGCGCATTAACCCAGTACTCCTGGGCATCCTCTGGCACCGGTAATCCAAAGTGACGACCCTGGAGGGAAAGTTCTGGAAGGATTTACACCCCGATGACCTCTGGGTGTTGCCTTTTCTGTGACTTAGGTTTGTTAGAGTTTGCTTTGCTTTTATCTTTACTTGTAATGAGATTTATGTTATTCTGTGTTTCCTGGATTCCATTTTAGTTAGATATCTCCTCTGTCTTGCTGTTTTGCGTTTCCGAAAACATTTACAGGAGTTCTGAAGGGCCAAGTACTTTGGATAAACTATGCATCACCTGTGAATAAAGATGAGCCGGACTAAGAGTAAAACCCAGGCCACAGTTGGGGGACGTTAACACCCTCACTAGTTAGATGGAGAAGCTCTAGAGCTGAGCCTTTTCAAATATATTGGGTCTGGGATTTGGTTTTCGTATAAGCACCAAGTCAAGTTCTGGTCTGGGAGTGTCGGCTCAGGGATGTCCTCTATGGCTTGTTGGCTTGGCACCTGCCCCCTGTGTCCCCCCCCAAGGCACTGAGCTAGCTCAGAGGGTCGCCTCCCCACGTGGAGCTGGAGGTCAGGTGTTCGAGGCCTTCTCCCTCTTTTCTCTTAGACACAAGAAATCAATTCTTCATGAGGGATTTTGGGTTCTTAGCTTCTGTCTTCTTCCAGAAAGGTGCCCATGTTCGGTCTGGAAGCCATTTGGAGAAATGGCCACGTAGTGGGCCATGTCCGCAGGGCTGACTTCGGGTTCACCATCAACAAGACCATCGCCTATGGCTACATCCGGGACCCCAGTGGTGGGCCGGTGAGTTGGGGCCCTGACCCTTCCGAGGAGCACTAGACAGAGGGTCGGGAGGAGCCTCAGGGTTGACAGAGTTACAACGGTGTCTCCTGGCAGTTGGCCCTGTGTTGAGCTTTTCTTTCAGAAAGAGTCTGATTTTGGAAGCTGCAGACTCCTGGTGTGGTGGTGTAGGATCAGCACTAGACTGTGAATCACAAGGTCGTCAGTTCAAACCCACCAGCTGCTCCTTGGCGACCCTACATAGGGTCGCTGTGAGTAGGCACTGATTCCACAGCACTTAACAACAACAAGGCTTTCCTTGGTCAGAAAGAAGCTCGGGGCCCGGGGTGGTAAAGGGTCAAGTGATAGGACACAGGGCTGCCCTCGGTAAGGAGTGATGAGTCGGGGGCCACATCTCAGCAAGCCCTGAAGGACGAGAAAGGGGGCTTGGGGTAGCTCGCTGGGGGGCGAGGTGGGGGTGTTCTTCTGCACCCTCCTTCCCCTCATTTCCCTTCAGGGAGCACCAAGGGAGTGAGTCTTCTCTCGGCCCTGTCCCCCTGCTCCATAATCCCAGATATGGAGACCAGGCTGCCTTCCAGGGAGCTGGCTGGGTGCCAGAGGTCATGGGCACTCACTTCCTGTGCACCCCACCTAGCCCATTCATCCCGCATCCACCCTGTGGAGGGAGAGAACTGACCCACTGTATCTCTAGAAGCTTCCCCCAGGCGCCCCTCTCAGCACAACTTCTCCCAGCCCAGGGGGGCTGCAAGGGAAGAACTCTAGACTGGAGGGGGGTGGGCTGCACCTTGTCCAGTTGCTCCCCTCTGTTCAGAGGAACCTGTAGGATGGGATCAGGTTGTCCACTTGAGCCATGTGGCTGACAGGGATAGAACCTGCGCCCAAGCCCTGCATGCTGTGGGTCCTCAGTTCTGTCCGCTGGACCTGAGCCCCACACGCTGTGAGTCCTCAGTTCTGTCCGCTGGACCTTGTGATTTCAAGGCTGTGTCAATTAGAGGGGGTGAGTGTGTTGTTGTCCAGCAGACTCTGGGGATGGTGATCCCACGTGCGTCAGAGTAGAACTGAGCTCCCTGGAACATTCAATGGCTGAGTTTCCAGAAGACGATCACCAGACCTTTCTTCTGAGGTGCTGATGGGTATACTTAAACCTCCAACCTTTCTGTTAGGTTCACAGTTTACATCTCCCAGAGACATGAGAAAGGGAGCATGATGGGTGTTCATGGGACAAACCAGCCTGGTCCCTGTTAGTAGACCCAACTCAGAGGTGCGGCTGGAAGCCTCCCACTCCTACAGCCGCAACCCCACATCAGGTCTCCATTTTTCCTTGCTCACCCAGCATGGAGCTGCTGGGAATGAGAACACACTTGTACATGCCAAGCAGAGCCCCAGACTCCAGCCTGGGTCCAGCCCTGATTAGTGGTGTGTAGGGAAACCCAGCATCCATGGGGGGCCGGGCCCCTGTGATCACTGCAG